AGCCGCCGAGCTCCTCACGGGCCGGGAGAGCGCGCGCCCCGCCCGCTGGCCCCGCCCCGGAAGCAGGGCTCCCCGAAGGCCCGCCCCCCGACCCGGAACCAAAACACCCTCGCGAGTCGAGGCCCTGGAGTGGCGGGGAGGAGACCGGGACTTCACAGGATAAAAGCCTTCTCATTCACGAGCCAGGAGGGAGACTTCAGTCTAAATTAAGGTCCGGACGGGGATGCGGGATAAGCGTACTGGATTCCTGGAGTCGTGGTGCGTGTCTGTCAAGCCAGCCCCCGGGAGAAGGCAGGAGGACCAAGGGTTCAAGGTCATCCGCAAACTGCATAGCAGCTCGAGACTAGGTTGAGCTACTTGAGACTCTGTCTCCAAGAGGTGGTGGGGGTGGGCGGAGCGGGGAAGAGGAGTGGACCTGCCGAGCCTGGTGGCACAGGCTTTAAATCCAGCCTCAGGAGGCTGAGTCAGGAGCCGGAGCTACGGAGTTCAGGAGCTGGGGGCGTAGCCAGGGTAGAGCACGTGCCAATGAGCTTCAACTCTCCGTGCAAACAAAAACAAAAGGTGAGCCATTCAGAGCCATTCAGGGCAACTTACCGAGACGCTCAAAATAGAAAGTGAAAACAGGACTGTGCGTACGTAGGGGTAGCGTGTGCAAGGCCCTAGGTTCAATCTCTGGCATCAGAGAGACTGTGTCCCTGTGTGTGTGTGATGGGCCAGCTTAGCAGATTAGGAACCCCTGAAGGGCTCTATTTTAGGCCAAGCCCAGGATAAGTATTCCAGAAGGATCAGGTCGAAGTCCGCACCAGGAAGTGTTGGTTGTAGCCCAGGGTGAGTGAGAGGTGGCCGTTGAGGAGGATGACGTGGGAAGCTGGGGAAGCCCCTTCTGTAGGCAGGGAGTTTGTACTTTCCTGCCTGTCTCTTGACGGATGGGGGAATGGAAGGCCATTGAAAGAGTTTAAGCAGGGTGATGCAGTCAGAATTGGACTTTAAGGAAACTTCATGGGCCGGGGAGATGGTTCAGTGGTTAAGAGCACTAGCTGCTCTTCCTAGGACCCAAGTTCAAGTCCCAGCACCCATATAGCAGCTCACAACTGCCTGTAACTCGAGTTCCAGGGGACGACACTCTCATATAGGCATACATGCAGGCAAAAAACACCAATGCACATGAAAGAAAAATAAATTTTAAAAAGAAAAAGAAAAAACTTCACTTGCAATCTTGGTCTGCTGGTGCACACCTTTAATCTCAGCACTCTCAAGATGGAGACAGAAGAATCTTGAGTTATAGCCTGGGGTACTTAGGGGACACTTGTCTCAAAGAAAGCAACCACTTTCTAGAATGAGAATGTGTTGTAATAGGGCTGGAGAGAATGGCTGCTGGTTAGGGAGGTATGGTCGCTGTCCCAGCGACTCTGTAAGTGACGGAGAGAAAGGGGAGTGCTGTGAGCAAGCGTTAGATTCACAGCAACTAGAAAGGTCGGGGTTTGCCCAATTTTAAAGCTGTACTTGAAAGACTTTTCCCCCTGCTGGGTATGAAGCTGAGGAGTCATCCGGCCTACGTAACTTAGAGACACTCTCTGTTAGAAATATAAAAATAATAAATATAAATATAATAAAAATAATAAAGAACTATAGCTCTGTGGGAAAACACATGTGTGAGGCCCTGGGTTTGATTCTCAGTGATACAAAGAAAAGAAGAGGAGACTAAGCCTTGGAGGCCCCTCCCCCAGTGGGCCTGGTACAATTTCACATGGGTTTAGCTAGCTTCTTCCACCTGTGAAGGCTCAGCCAGAAAACATCTCACCTCTTGATATGGAGCTCTCCAGGCTCCACAACAGAAGCACGTGGTGTGGTAGTGTAGGTCATGCATAAATACAATCTCAGTGGCAAGAGTTCAAGGGCAGCTTATAAGGAAAGAGATACATTTCAGTACTTTATATATTACCAAGCCTCAAATATCTTGTTATAGTTCCACAGACAAAATAAGACAATAACTCACTGACTGCTACCCTGCTCGCTCGCTCTCTCTCTCTCTCTCTCTCTCTCTCTCTCTCTCTCTCTCTCTCTCTCTCTCTCTGTGTGTGTGTGTGTGTGTGTGTGTGTGGTGTAAGCTGGAGGTTGAACCTAGGACCTTGAGCATGGTAGGCAAGTATTTTACCACTAAGCCACATCCTTAGTCCTGACAGCAACTGTAAGATGGAGGTGGTAATTGTCTACCTCCCTTGTGTTTGTGTGAAATGACTTGGAGCAGTCTCTGGCACCATCAAGCCTACATAAATGATCACAACACCTGCACTTGAGCTGAAAACAGTACCAGGTTCCTGTTTGTCACAGTGAGCAATGACACATGCATTTGTGTAAGCATACTAATGTCTGCTGCTGCCATAAGCTGGGAACCTAGAGAGCCTGTGTGTGCATTGCACACCATATTGGCCTGGCTTCTCCTATTTACAGAAAAACACGGGGTAACCTTGCTTCCTTTGGCCATCAGAAGAATTCGATTTGTCCTGAAATACACCATGTCTGTGTGTGCCTCCATAGAAACATGATACTCTAGGGCTCATAGAGCTTCCTTTTTTTTTTTTTTAAGAGAGAATCAAAAATTCAAATAAAACCAAGGAACGTTCCACAGTTAAGCTCCCAATGATAAGATGGAGAATGAATATAATGTAAAGAGTTTTCAGAATTAAAGGACAAAAGCTATATTCCCAGCTGATAAAGTCATCCTAAAGACATCAAAAGCATCAGCTCTCCCTCTGGCAAAGGTTCTCCAAGTGTCTGTATACCAGACAGAGGTTCATTCTCTACAAAGAATTGGTTTCTCCATCCCTGGGACACTTTCCAAAGCAGTTGGCACACTCTTGCCATAGTCACTCGTTTTTGTGGTAACAAGAATGGTTGCACCCTCCTCCATGGCTGGAAGTGGGAAGAAATGGTCAGAATCAACCTTGGGGTTGCTCTTGACACAGTCCTCGCAGGTACATTCTTCCACTGTGTACGCCAGGCTTCCGGGAAGAATCCTTACATCATCAGCCCTGCTCTTCCTCAGGTCAGTACTGGCCTTGTCCAGCAGAATGGATCCTGATGATACAAAAACAGGCATTTACCTGAAGGTCCCAGTGGTACTGTCATAGCATAGCATGCATGGCAGAAATCAGAGTGCATCCTATGCCGAGGGTCACCAGCACAGGCGTGGCCCTGAGGCAGGTGATTTTTGAGTATATAGAGTTTTTAAATCTTGTCTTATGTTGACCACATTTAAAACTCAGGTTTCACATGAGAATGTTCTCAGCTAGACTCCATAAAGACTTGAGAATGTGGTGACAGGAGGGACATGGGGACAGTGGGCCAGAGTGCGAGACAGCAGCTGCAACCTCCAAGCAGATGTGGGTACCTTGTTGGCAAAGCCACAAACCGATCAGTCCATATACGTATTACCCACTTGGCTCCTGCAAGTTCTGAGGGTTGACCTCATCTTACACAGGGAATTAGCATATGTCCCAGCAGATCAGAGTCAGCCTGTGAGTGACATTTCAGAATACAAAAGCAAAAGCTGAACCTGGTGGCACACACCTGTAATCCCAGCCACGCAGGAGGCTGAGGCAGGAAGAGTTTGGAGCCAGCATGTTCCAGAAAGGCCCTGAGTTCAATCTCCAATACCAGAGGGGGAAAGAATATAGAAGGGATTTTTTATTTTATTTTATTTTATTGTGGTGGAAAAAGTCACATCACAAGCCGGGCGTGGTGGCGCACGCCTTTAATCCCAGCACTTGGGAGGCAGAGGCAGGCGGATCTCTGTGAGTTCGAGGCCAGCCTGGGCTACCAAGTGAGCTCCAGGAAAGGCGCAAAGCTACACAAGAGAAACCCTGTCTCGAAAAAACCAAAAAAAAAAAAAAAAAGTCACATCACAGTGCACCTGTGACCATCAGGACAGCTTATGGGAGTAGATCAAAGTCAGCCTAAACAGGCTTCACAGCAAGTATCTTTTATCTACTGAGCATCTCACCAACATTCAAGATATGTCCTGTGTCCTAGTTTTCCTGACATGACATCTTATGGTGCATGTTTCAGTACATTAATTTTTCTGTGTGTGGGGCAAGGTCTCATTCTGTAGCCCAAGTTAGTCTAGAACTCACTGTAGCCCAGGTTGGCCTCCTACTCACTTTATAATGTGTGTGTTTGCTGCATGTATGTATGTGTACCATGTATATGCCTGGTACAGAATAAATGTTGGATCCCCTGGAACTGACATAAAAGGCTGTGAGCTGCTGTGTGGATTCTGGAAACCAAACTGTGAGCCATCTCTCCAGCTCATGGCCTCAGACTGTTGGTGACCCTTCTGCCTGCTTCACCCTCCAGACCACTGATATTACAGGTGAGGACCAAATGAATGTCCTTTAATCTCACATAAAAGACCCCAGTTTGTCTCCAGTACACATCTGTGAAGAATGAATTTTAAAAAGCACTTGTTCTGCCTGGTGCTGGTGGTGCTCAACTTTAATCCCAGTACCTGGGAGGCAGAGACAGGCAGATCTCTGAGTTCAAAGCCAGCCTGGTCTACAGACCTGACAGGACAGCCAGGGTTATACAGAGAAACCTTGCTTTGAAAAAGAAAGAAGAGCCGGGCAGTGGTGGCACACACCTTTAATCCCAGCACTCGGGCGGTGGAGGCAGGCGGATCTCTCTGAGTTCGAGGCCAGCCTGGACTATAGAGTGAGCTCCAGGAAAGGTGCAAAGCTACACAAAGAAATCCTGTCTCAAAAAAAGAAAGGAAGAAAGAAAGAAAGGAAGAAAGAAAAGAAAAAAAGAAAGGAGAGGAAAAAGAGAGAAAAAGAACTTGTCACATAAAATGACCACTTGAGTTCAGATCCTCGGAACCCACTATAAAAATGGGGTGTGACTGGCCAGATGGTGGTGGTGCACACCTTTGATCCCAGAGCTTAGGAGGCAGAAGCAGGCGGATCTCAAAAAATGGGGTGGGGCAGCAGGCACCTGTAATCCCAGGTCTATAGTGAGGTTAGAGGCAGAGACAGGAAAATTACCCCAGAAGCTTGAAGACCAGGTGTCTTGGAGACTGAGTCTAAGCATGAGAAATAAGAGGCCCCTGCCTCAAAATGGAAAATGCAAAGTGACTCCTGGAAGTTGTCCTCTGACCTCCACACATGCTATGGCATGCACCTACACTCACACACAAAAGATTCAGCTTCTGCTTCTCAACACTCCACAGTGTAGCCTTATCTTCTAAAACATCTCTTTCAAGGGGCTGGAGAAATAGCTTAGCCGCTAAGAGCACTGGCTGCTCTTGCAGAAGACATGGGTTCAATTCCCAGCACTCACTTGGTGACTCACAACTGTCCGTAACTCCAGTCTCTGGGGGCAGTGTGTACATGTGGTACTCAAACACATGAAGGAAAACACCCATATACATAAAAATAAATAAATAATGAAACATCTCACTTGGACTCGCTCTAAAAATACACTAAACACAGAAAGAAAAGGCCTGCCTGACCTCACTTCCATGTGGGCCTAAAGAAGCTGCTTACAGCAAAACAGCAGAATGGTGGTTACCAGAAGCAAGGGGGTGGGGGAAATGAGAAGCAGATGGTCGGAAGTCCAGAGCTGCAGTTACATAAGAACTCTGTAGAGCCGGCCTGTGACTAGATGACTGGATGATACTGTAGTGCTGCAAATAGAGAGTAGATTCCAGCCAGCCTCACCACCAGGAAGAACGCTAAAGAGCTAGGATGGGGTTCCATTGGCTCACTCAGCTAACATGCTCAAGAAGCTCTGTATTCAACCCCCAGAACTTCACAAACCAAGCCTGATGGTGCACACCTGTAATGCCTGGCCTGGAGAGATGGCGGCATGAGGATCCGAGAGGCTCAAGTCATTCTGAGCTACATAGTCAAAGATACATGAGACCCTATCACCAAAACCGGTCAACTATGTAAAGAGGTGGATGTGTTATTTGTTTGACCATAGTCACTGTTTCCCTATATGTCTGTAATCAGAACATTATACCATGTACTTTACATATGTACAATTTGTACGTTACAAATTTTCAATGGGTGGTGGTGGCACATGCCTTTAATCCCAGAGGCAGGCAGATTTCTAAGCTTAAGGCCAGCCTGGTCTACAAAGCGAGTTCCAGGACAGCCAAGGCTACACAGAAATACCCTGTCCTAAAATAATAATAATAATAACAATAATAATTAATTCTAGGGCTGAAGAGCTGATTCAGTGATTAGGGGGCAGCACTGCTCCTCCGGAGTTCAGTCCCTAGCAACCACCGTAACTGACGACAGGGGGATCCGATGCCCTCTTCTGACACCCAGAGGCACTAGACTCACATGCACACACCCACTCTCAGACTGGAACATATACATATGACTGTCTACGGACCACATGAAGGACAGGAGAGGGAGTGAATTACCCACCACTCTGATGCCCTAGAGAGCAATGAGGAAGATGCTTTGCAGTTTGTGCATGCAAACCAAATGCACAAAGAATCAGGACAAGGGCTCAGAAGATGGCTTAGTGCTATAAGAACTTACAAACATGAGGACCTGAGTTTAAATCTCTGGCACACTCATAACAAGCACATGCCTGTAACCTCATCATGTAACCTCCCATGGGCAGAGATGGGAGCTAGACATCATAGCCGCAACAGCATGCTTCTGGTCCACTGAGAGACCCTGTCTCATGGCAATAAGGCGAAGAGCAGTAGAGAAGGATACCTGAAGTCCTGCTCTGAACTCATGAGCAACAGCACACTCACATTTCTGCACCACACACACCAACAGAAAAAAAGTTAACTAAGAAGAGAGATACAGGTCAGTGGCTGCTGTGTGTCTGAGAATCATATCACAGGGAAGAGTGCTATAAAAATCTTTTTAGCCTAAGAGATTCTCAGGTAGAGCATTTACTTCTCGGAGACTGGTACTCTGTTGCCTAATAATTATTCTTGAGATGGTTAGTGAATTCAGGAGCAACTGGTTATTCATTTCTAGCATTTTGGGTGGTAAAATGTTCACATGCAAGCAGTGCTTTTAATTGTATTAAAAACATGACCAGGGAACTTGCCAAAACCCTCAGCCTGAGAGTACCAGGCCTGGTTATTCATGTGGGATAACAGAGTATCTCATCAGTGTGCTAACTTCAGTCAAAGACACTTACCAAGGAAGCCTTAAGACCAATTACCAAGAGAAGAACTCGGGGAATGGGCATTGGAAGGAGACCTGTAAAGTAGCTAGCTGTCAATGCCAGGATTTCTCTGTTGGTTGGTTTGTTTTGGGGGGAGCATTGACGGGGTTTTTTTATGTTTTGTTTTGAGACATGGTCTCCTGTAGCCCAGGCTGACCTCAAACTCTACATGTAGCTGAGGGTGACCTTGACGCCTTTGATCCTGCTGGCCGCCCTACCCAGGTGCTAAGATGACAGGCAAGTGCTACCACACCCAGCTGAAAATTTCAAGTATCCACTGACACATTTGAAAGTGCTGTAACAAAAAAAGTCAAAGTTAAAAAAGGAAAAGGAAATGAAACTTGGAAGAGCCACCCTACAGAAATAGATTTCAAAGAGTCACCATCCAACTGACCTGAGCTTTGAAGTTTGCCCTTCAGTGCTTCAGAGTTCATCTTCCTCAGCAAGAACATGAGTGTGAAAAGTGCCAAAGAGACGATCAAGGTCAAGCCCAAGAAGGTCCAGAGAACAATGTGTGTTCCTTTCATTGAGCCGGTCACACCTTTAGTAAAGAACATCACAGAGCTAGGAGGCCAGAGCTCGTATGCACATAGAGTATGAACTTTCTAACACTGGACTCCCCTGTTGCATATTCATGATGAACACTTTACTCTGTGGGGATGTTTATTGAGAAAAAGTCTTCCTAGATCAGGTGATCTCGACCAAGAATGGCTGGGGATGAGTCCACCACCTATGTGAGTGCTGGGCTCTGCAGCAGCGTGAGGACATGTAGTGCTGGGGACCGAGGCAGGGCTGTGCGCACCAGCCAGGCATTCACCAACCCATCTACGGCTTGGCTCCTTCTGTTGTTTTTGAGACAGGCTCTCACTCTAGCCCAAGCTGCCCTGGAATTCACTGTGTAGTCCAGGCTAACCTCAAATTTACACAGTTCTCACAACCTGTGGTTCGAGACCCCTTAGGGTTGTTGAATAACCCTTTCACAGGGGTCACATATCAGACATTTACATTATGATTCATAACAGTAGCAAAATTACAGTTATTAAGTAGCAACAAAATAATCCTATGGTTGGGGGTCACCACAACATGAGGAACTGTGTTAAAAGGTCGCAGCATTAGGAAGGTTAAGAACGACTGAATTAGAGACATATACTATTCATCCCTGGCTTCACCAACATTGACTTTTAAATTCTAGCTACCACTTAATTAAGAGCTGATGAAATCTTCATCACCATTGGTGCTGAATAAAATTGAGTTTGTTTCTGAATAATTCCTTTGCTCCAGGAGGCATTTAAATCATTGCTTGATTTCTGGGTTTGATTCAGGCAAACAAAGATCCCCACCTCTCCATAATGTTTATTCTCTCTCAAGAGTGCTTCCCACCAAGAAGCAGCTGTGGAAGAGAGTCACTTACTTGGGTTGCAGTAAAGCTGACAGGGCACAGGAGGGTTGGAACACCGGAGGTGGCAAGGTTTGCAAGCATGCAGCAGACTGTCAAAATATTCACTGTGGAAGCACTGCTGAGCCATGGGGAGCTTGATCACTGAAGGAAACAGAGACAGAGCGGCAGGAAAGACGAGCAGATTCTCAGCAAGAGTTCCTGTAGACAGCGGTCAGGGGCATTGAGGGGAAAGAAGGACCCCGACTTCGTTGGTTCTTAGGAGGGATGCGGGTATTGTGGCGAAGGGTTTGAATGCCTCTCTGGTCCTCGGTGTCTAAGAGGCTTGGGTGGGGCAGTGAGGGAGTATATCATAAAAAACATACCTGAAACAGAAACTGCCTATTTTTAGAGGAAATTTCTCACCAGGTGACAGTTGCACAAGGTGGACAAGCCTAGGGTCCAGCAGAAAGTGCAGCAGCCATGTATGGACCATCTGTCTGTGGGCTGTACTGCGTGGTAGGAGATGGCGAGGTGAGGGCTGGGTCCTTTACTCCAAGTCCGCAGGGAAAGCAGACTACAACCTGCAACTGGAGGATGGGAGTGACTGACCCGAGGGAAGACGGGGAGACCAGTCAGATATGACTGCCAGTTGTTCTTGGAGGCAAGGGTTAAAGCAGGAGGCATGAGGGGCTGGGGATTTAGCTGAATGGTAGAGTGCTTGCCTAGCAAGTGCAAGGCCCTGGGTTCGGTTCTCAGCTCCAAAAAAAAATTTTAATTAAAAAAAAAAAAAAAAAAGCAGGAGGCATGAAGGAAAGATCAGGGACATTGTGTCATGACAGCAAAAGCTATCGTAGCTGGGCATGCTGGTGCGCACCTTTAATCCCAGCCCTCTGGAGAAGAAGCAGACAAATCTCTGAGGCCAGCCTCATCTACATGGGGCTACATAGAGAGACCTAGTCTCAAAAACAAAGTAAAACAGCAATCCAGTATACATCCATGAAAAGAAAGGAGCTTTTACCATCCCCCAGAAAATGCTTAGAGACTTGGATTGATGACTTATGCACATATGCCATATCTCATATGATTCTGTAATGACAGGGTTAAGGATTAAAGATTGAGTATCCTTGTGGTACATGCCTATAATCTCACCATATATAAGGCTGAGACAAGAGGGTCTCAAGTGGAAAGCCAGCCTAGGCTACATAACAAGATCCTATCTCAAAAAAACCCTGTGTAGTTTTGGTGCCTGTTCTTGATCTCGATCTATAGACCAGGCTGGCCTTGAACTCACAGAGATCCACCTGCCTCTGCCTCCCGAGTGCTAGGGTTAAAGGCAGGTGCCACCACCACCCAACTCAAAACTTTTTTAATTGAAGCTGGGCATGGTGCCATGCACCCATAGTCACAGCTACCTGGGATGTAGAAGCATTAGGTAGTAAGTTCAAGGCCTATCTGAACTGCACTATAGCAACCTTGTCATAAAATTACATGATTAGGGGCTGAAGAAATTGTTCAGCAGTTGCACTGGCTGTTCTTCCAAAGGACCAGGGTTTGATTTCCAGCACCCAGGTAGAGGTTCACAACCATCTGTAATTCCAGTTCCAGGGGGTCCAATGCACTCGTCTGTCCTCCATGGGCAACAGGCACATACATGGTGCACATATACACGTGAGCAAAACACCCATACATATACATAAAGTAAAATAAATATATTTTTTAAAAATACATAATTGGGAGGGCTGGAGAGATGGCTCAGTGATTAAGAGCATCGGCTTCTCTTCCAGAGGACCTGGGTTCAATTCCCAACACCCACATGGTGGTTCACAGCTATCTGTAACTCCAGTTCTAGGGGATCTGACACGTTCACACCAATGCACATAAAAAATAAAGTTAAATAAATTTAAAAAAGGAAGGAAGGAAGAAAGGAAGGAAGGAAGGAAGGAAGGAAGGAAGGAAGGAAGGAAGGAAGGAAGGAAGGAAGGAAGGAAGGAAGAATGCCCTTGCTAACACTGGCTTATTTTTTTAAAAAAATACATAATTGGGCCAGGCGGTGGTGGCACATGCCTTTAATCCCAGCACTTGGGAGGCAGAGGCAGGAGGATCTCCGTGAGTTTGAAGTCAGCCCGGTCTGCAAAGTGAGTTCCAGGACATCCAGGGCTAAACAGAGAAACCCTGTCTCAAAAAACCTAAATAAATAAATAAATACATGATTGGATCCATACCAATACCTTATCCTAGAAACTTAAGGGTTTGTGTGGCTTACCTGTTGCAAGCCTGGATGGATACCATGTGGGACAGAATGTTATATATGAAGCCTAGAAAAATGACTCGGTGGTTAAGAGCACTTTCTGGGCAATCATGAGAAGCAGAGTTGAAATCCCAGCACCCATATAACAAGTTGGATGTTGGATGTACATTATAGCTCCATCTGGGATATGTGAGTTCACAGCTGGGCTGAGAAAGCACAAGCCTCAGCTAAAGGAGAGTTCTTTTCTCAAAGGAATGGTAAAGAGTCCTAAAAGACACCTGTCCTGCAGCACACATTGGCACATGCACAAGCATACACATACATAAACAGAGACATACATAAATTAAAATATATAAATTTTTTTAAAGTTTAAATGTCAACATGACATGGTAGCACACGCCTTTAATCTCAGCATTTAAGAGACAGGCAAGCAGATCTCTGTGATTTCAAGGCTGCCCTGATCTACATATCAAGTTCCAGGACAGCCAGGGCTATGTCTCAAAAAACTACTACTACTACTACTACTACTAATAATAATAATAATAATAATAATAATAATATCATCAATTTTAATACATTTCTACAAGCCAAAAAGAAATCTGTTCCATTGTTGACATTTTTTTAAAGTACTAATGAGCAGTTAGAAAAATGGTTGGTAGTTCAGGTACCTAAAAACAATCATAGCCTTTGATGTGTCCCAACTGTGCAAGAGAGGCTGCTGTGTGTCCTGCCTGATCAGCCCCTGATGGGCAGTGTTCCAGAGGGAGGCAGGGAGGGACAGAAGACAGACAGACTGGATAGGCTCAGCAAGAGCTTCTTCTCTGTTACCTAATTAGAATCACTTTGATTTTTGTTTGTTTGTTTAGTTGGTTGGTTTTGTTTTTTTCAGACGGAGTTTCTCTGTGTGACCCTGGTTGGTTGTTTTTGTTTGTTTGTATCAGTTTGTTTTTGTGTTTTGATTTTTGAGACAAGATCTCATACTCACTATGTGACCCAGGCTGGCCTCAAACTCCTGACAATCTTCCTGCCTCAGCCTCCCATGTCTGATATTACAGAGGATGTACACCTGCACCTCAGTACTTGGGAGACGGAGAGAGGAGGCTGTGACTTCAAGACCTGGCTTGTCTCACTACACAGCGAGATGAGGGAGGGAGGGGCAAAGCCCATTTCTTAGAGCAGTTCTTTCTGGGGGTGGGATTCGGGGGAGGAAGGGGACACACGGCATTCAAAGAGGCTTGACTTGTTTTACTTATTAAGTAGAATGAGATTTACTATGTTTTCCTCCCCTTGTATTTTTGTTATTCTTTGCATTCTTTATGTTTTTAGAGCACTGTATAATGTTGAAGTGGTGATAATGAAATGTGGAGTTTCAAAACACATTTGCAAACGTAGGATGTGAGTGTAGAAGAATGACGATCAACGGGACCAGGGAGACGGTTCAGTGGTAAAGGTGCAAGCTGAAGTCCTGTGTTCAAATCCCAGCACCCATGGAAAAAAAACTGACATGGAGCATGCCCTGATGACAGAGACCACCAGATCCCCTGGCTCACTGGCTAGCCAATTAGCCTTACTCTAAGGTTGAGCTTCCAATTCAGTGAGAGACACTGTCCTAAAAGAATAAGGTGGTAGAAAGTAGCCAAGTAGTGGCGTGCATACCTTTAATCCCAGCACTCGGGAGCAGAGGCAGGTGGATCTCTGAGTTTGAAGACAGCCTAGTCTACAGAGAAACCCTGTCT